TGGTTAAAGGCCGGTGAGCTCCGGTACCTGCCGTACAGCTGTGTAGTTGGATGGTGTGGGTTTGTTCCCTGGTGGAGCTGGTGCAGTTCTGTGGATCTGAATGACTGGTTTGGGTTTGGTCCCCGCTGCAGGTGGTGGAGGTGGAGGTCCTTCAGGCTTTGGTCTGCCAGCCTACAAATATCAGGTGTCATTAGAAATGTGTCGGAACAGTTTTTAGATCAAATTCCAGCTCCACTCAGAACATCACCTGTTGGCCTGATGCAGGGTAACTGGGTGGAGGCTGTTTGCCGTGGTAAACCGGGTTCTGCACGGCTATCTGCTTCCTCTGAGTTGTTGCACTGCAAAGACAGATTGAATCAACAGGTGACGACCCTCATGGAGGCGAGTTTGCAGAAACAGAGGCGTACAATGGCCTCCAGTAATGTCATGATTACTCACGTTGGCAGGATGGGACTTTGTCGCTTTTTCCAGATGATTCCTGCGATGGCAGCAATGATGCCTAGGACCACTAGTATAACCGTGACTGCAATGACAATAGTTTTTCCTACAGAGACAGAAAAAAATCAGTTTGCTTGGGTTGTAGTTGTGCAACATGACACAGTAAATTGAACTTAATCTGTAGACTGAAGTAGATGACTCTTACCAGTACCACTAAAAGCTGTGTCCACTGAGTCACAGTTAGGAAGTATCCACCCAGGCTCGCACTGGCACTCACTTTTGTGGTTGCACACCTGGAAAGCACAAAGAAGATGTTGCCATTATTAGACTTTAAGTAGAATTTAAGTAATATAAAACACTCAGCCCCAGTATAACTGGTGGCATGTAATTAACTAGATTTACCCAGTATATAGTTATAGTGTATATTATCTGTATTTCATTGCTTAAGCTTCTGACAAATTGACTCTAGTTAGTTTTATTTCATTTTGCATAGACTATAAGTAAAATATGAATAACATGCAAGGCTAAATTATGTTATTATGATTAACTGAGAGTTTTTGCTTGCTTGAGCCATTTTATAAAATAAAGTTAAATTAAAAATATTTAGAGGTTTTCAAGTTTTTCTCATTTCATTCACATTTCAAAAAGCGAAGAAACAATTTGTTATATCTGTTTTTTTAAAATATTTTTTTCTTTTTAAATTGGACACTTATTTAGTGCATATTTGCAATCACACTGCAGTTGTAAATGTTTACACGTGGTTCTAAAAAAGCCTACATGAGTAAGTTTGGGCATGTCTTGTATATCTCACATCAGCATTTCAGGGATGCCTCAGAAGGGTGTCTTTGTCTTTACAGGGCTAAACCTTTTAAAACTACTGGAGCTGCATGGCCACCATTGGTGTAGTTATCACATCCACTCCAAATATTTAGGTTATGTTTCACAATTTTTATTTATTTTATCATTATTTTATGGTGTTATTGTGTTGTAGTTTGCTACAGATCAAACAGATTTTTTGGCAGAGGGGGGAAATCCTGTAAAATCCTGGGTTTAAAATTTGCAAAATACACTGAATATTAACAAAATTCCAAAATGATGCATTTTTCCCCCTTATTTCTACAAAGTCGTTACCTCTGGGACTGAACAATAAAGTCAGCAGTGATAAATCCCAAAAGCTGCAGCTGAATGTCTGGTTGAAGCTGGCTATCAAATGTGAGTAGATCACAATAGACCACAGTGCTAAACTGACCAATTTAACAGTATTAAAATGTGTGCATATAGACTTGAAAACAAAGTTAACCTCAGAATCTGTCTGCTAGGCCAAACTTCCATTAGTTTGAGTCAGTGAGTGAGACCTCTCATGGATCCAGGTCATTTACCAAAATGCTAGTGTTAGCTTACAACTTTACTTTTGGCTCCAAAATGCAAACATGACATGA